TGACCCCAGCTGACTTGCTGCCCTTTGGGTGGGGGGCTGGACTCAGTGATCTTCCGAGGTTCCTTCCAGCCCTAATGTCTATGAAATCTATGAAATTTAGTGGAGTCTAAGTTGGTGTGGCCTTCCACTGAAAAAGATATCACTGAGAGCAATTTGGCTTGATCAAGATTTACCTTCTACATTTTACAGATGGGTAAACTAAGAAGTGGAAAAATGAAATAGAATTATAGAGTAGAATCATAGAGCTGGAAGGGACCTGTATGGTCATCAAGTCCAGTCCCTTGCCATAAGCAGGAAGTATTGAGCTCAGATGAGTTCAGCAAGGTGCTTTTCCAGCCTTGTCTTGAACACCTCCAAGGAGGGCGACTCTACCACCTCTGCTAGGAGCCAGATTCTGGTGCCCCATACAGAGAAGTTTTTCCTTATACCCTCTATTACTTTATGCCCATAAGTCCTCATCCTCCCTTGAGGTGCCCTCTTAAATAGTTGCTCTCCTAGTTCTTGATGCTCCCCCCAAGGTACTTGTAGGCAGCTATCAAGTCACCTCTCAGCCTTCTCCTCCTCAAGCTGAACAGGCCCAGTTCCCGGAGTCTCTCCTCATTGGGCCTACCCTCCATGACCGTAATCAAATGGGTGGCCCTTCTTTGTACCCTCTCGAGTTTATCCATGTCCTTCTTGAAGTGCGGTGCCCGGAACTGGGCACAGTACTCCAGCTGAGGCCTTGTCAACGCTGAATAGAGGGAGGAGTACCTCCCTGGATCTATTGGCCACACAGCGGCTAATGCAAGCCAGAGTTTTATTGGCTCTTTTGGCAGCCTCATCACACTGTTGGGTCATATTCATCTTCCAGTCAGTCATGACCCCCAGGTCTCATTCAGTTGTTGTGTCAGCCAGTAGGCCACCACCCATTGTATAGTTGTTCTTCCTACCCAGATGAAGGACCTTAAATTTTTTGTATGTGTCTTTGTAGGGATAAGGATGCCCTCTGGCAAAAATCAGATGCTCTGGAATTTCAACAGAAGCTGTCTGCAGAGCAACGATGGCTGGGAGACACAGAAGTAAACCAGTGTCTGGACTGCCAGAAAGAGTTCAGTTGGATGCTACGCCGACACCATTGCAGGTTAGTTCACTGAACTGTTTTAAACATGTTTTTAGAAACCTGGAAATAAATATGATAGTTTGCATAAAAAATATCTATTGTTTCAATATTTCTGCTGTTCAGTTGGATGCATTATAAAATATGCATGTTACATGGGATGCCTGCTTTAAAAATTATTTTCTGAGATAGTTTTATCGTTGTTGTTTTTTTGCAACACTCACCTAGTTACAATCAATGTCCCATTGTATTACATTCTGCGCGAACATAACTCACTGCTTAGATAGAATCTGTTAAATTATTACTTTTAATGCATAAATCTGATTTAGATGTCTGCTTTAAAATACAGAAGAGCTAATTGATTCACTTTCTACAAATTTAGCCTCTTTTTGTATTTTTAGCAGTATAATGATGTTTACATACATATTCACTGAAAAGTTTGAGTGAATATATTTCACACTCTTGGTAGAGCATTAATTTAAGCAATCAATAATATTTTGTATCTCTTGTGAGCAATTGATCACATAAGACACACAGAACTTGCTCAGTTTTCCAATTCAGTAACATTTTACACTAGGGAATATCGTGCAGTTGTTGATGAAGAGGTAATACCTATTTCCCAGGGTACATTTTCAAATGAAGAAATTCAGATAAAATTTGTACAAATTGCTAACAGTTTTGCCAGAACATGCCGATGTCCCAAATACTTATGGAAAAACAACTAGTATTGAGATTTCATCAATAGCAGCAAACTGGACTGGGTGCTTTTAATCATGAAAATAATAACCAATTTACTTTAAGAGCATTAAATTGGTCTAACAATAAGAAAGTATCCTGGTATACGTCTCTTTTCTCTCTCTCATGATATTGCTACTTTCCCCTTTTTTGAAGAGCGTGCAGCTTAAATGCACTGAATGATTGGATTAAGGATGGTTTGAGTAATATGGGAATGAGCCTGTTCATACTACCCAGTACATTTAAAATCAGTGGAATATTAATAAATATGTCATTTTTATTTGTTTATGTTTATATTATTTATATGTGTCATCTACAGATTCCTTTTCCTTTGTCATTTATTTGTATTGAGACTATAAGGTACCAGTATGCCCCTCTAGACTTTGAATGCTAGGGAGACTTGATTAACTGCAAAAAGCAGAATTGTCTGCACTGAGAATGTTGCCATTTAACGTACAGAAAATGTAGGCTTCTCTAGGGCACAACATACTTTTTACCAAAGCCTCCACCATTGTGACATCATTACTTCTGGTTTTAAGCATGATATATTCATGCCTTTGTTTTTGTTTCTTTTTCTAATCTCTAGAATATGTGGTCGCATTTTCTGTTACTATTGCTGCAACAACTATATGATGACAAAAAGTGGCAAGAAGGAACGTTGCTGTAGAACTTGCTTTAATAAGCCTAGAGTGGTTGTCGATAATGCAGATGGCTCTGGATCTCCTGTCAACCAAGGGACATCAGCATCTCCATTAGAGTCACCAGTGTCACCAAACAGGAGAGTTACAGGTTAGTCAGTGTACTGCTATTAAATAAAAGACTTTATTGGACTTTCATATCCTGACTGACTTGCACTTTCTACAAATCCAATTATGTCAAACAGATCTAAGTCAGGGAATAATTTGTACTACCGCAGTTGTGTACATTAGTTAGTGGGTGCTAATATTCATAAATTAATATAATTTCCCATTTATATTTAATACAGGTGAGTCATTGTGGAGGTTCCCACTTAATCTTATACTAAAACTTCAGTGTAGGCAGAATAACAGTCTTCTGCGTAAGCTTTGAAACAATGATTGGTACTTCTTGTAATGTTATAACTGCATTTTATATGCTTTTATGGTAGTTACCAATGAAGCCTCCAAACCACAAGATGATGCAACATTCGATATCATCACAGATGAGGAATTGTGCCAAGTGCAGGATTCTGATTCTGCCCTCAATGAAAGTCAAACTGAAGTAGAATCTGTGGACCAGAGTGTGACAGATCTGTGAGTAAACACTATTAACACAAAACCAGAATCATCTGGTGTATTTTTTTCTGTATATAAAGAGCAAACAGGCATTCTTAGCCAGATTGATATTTATTTCAGATTAAGAAAACAATAATGCAAAAAAGTAAAGTCCCCCTTTCTTTTATGACAGTTAATGGAACCAAATGCAAAATGGCTGCCTATCAATGCAGATAGGAGAGTCCTTAGAAGTTTAAAGATACTAGACACAAATACCAAAGAATAGCAATTGCACACTGAAGTCTAAGACATTTATTTTCCAAAAAAAGCAGAAATAACCACATCATGATATTGAATTCTGTTACTAATTTAATCAGTTTCTAAGTAAATCAACCAGAAGCAGCAAATGAGCATTCTCTATTTTTAAATTCACAAACTGCATCATTCAATAATATGAGTTCATGTATATGTCTATGTTAAGTAAAAGTTTAATTTTACATTACGTTATAATCATTTGGATATAAAAAACAGTGCATTTGGTTGGTTGTGATCATCATTTGACAGAGGGGGAAACAGACATGGGGAAGACTTATGGGACTCTTCCAAAGTTATAGGATGACTAACCTCATGATTCCTCAGAAAAGACTGTAATGCATCAGGGTGTGAGGTCACCCTACTTAGAGCACATACAGTACAGTTGCACCACAGCTGCAGTGTGCTCAGCTGAGATTCTCCTGAGCAAACCCCTGTGATGTGCCTCTGTAGCTGGTTTTGAGGCTGCTAGGGATAACTCTGGAGCAGCATCGCAAGATGTGACCAGGAGAAGATGGGTGAGTTGTGTTTGGGACATACTGGGCATGTCTACACGTGCATTTACGCAGGCTTAAATTTACTGCTCAGTAAGCAGGAATAAGCCGGCATCTACACATGCAGATGTTAAAGCGAATTAACACTATGTGTGGACTGATTTGGGACTAAAGTTAGTCCCAAGCCAGTCCACACACACAGTGTTACACGTGCGTTACTGCACAGTAACTAATCTGGCATATGTTTGATATCTTCATGATGTAGGTATCAAATTTATGTTCAAGTTAGCATAAGTCAGTACATTTACTGCACAGGACAGGTGTGCATGTGTAGATGCATGCCTGTACTGCGCAGTAATATCGGTTGCAGTAAATATGCATGTGTGGACGCACCCACTGTTTTGGGGGTATAAATATTATGCCCTTATACACCTCCCTAGTCCATACAGGATCACTGTAGTTAGATGCCTAGGTGATAAAACTGGAAACCTACATACAGCAGCCAAGAATTATCCATTCCATGAGACCCCACTGAAGTCAGTAGAGCTTGCATGGTGCAAAGGTTATCCCTCAGGCCTCCAGTGGGGAACATTCAGTTGTAATCACTCTGGGGCAAGGACCAGCTTGTAATTAAATGTGTGTAGTTCTTAACTGGGTTGTGCTGGTTGAGTAGCTTGCTATGGATCCACAGGTGTGAGTTTGAGACCATGTCAGAGGTCCCCTAGCTATAAACAGATTATTCAGGCTAGTTTGAAAAAAGTGCTACCTACATCTTTCCTTTGTGTGCCAATGGCTACAGAAACCAGTGTGCCTTAACTGCAATAGGCATTCTTAGGCTCATCTTTGGCAATTTGTTTGAAAATGCCTAGCACAATGTAGCTGATCCCTAACTGGAGTCTCTCATATCAGGTGCAATACAAATAAAAACCATCATCATCATCACGAGAAATGTATGGTTTAGACAAAACTCAGTTTTTGCAGTAGAGTTCATCTTGGAGGGACAGGAAATCTTCACTAGGACAAGTAGGATGCAAAGCATCCAGAGTCACATTCGCAATTGTCGTCTTGTTTGTTTGATTTGGTACAATAGTTGTATGCAAATACATAAATAAAGTATTATTTTATTTCACTTGCTGAGTTCTGCTGGGAGCAATCCAAACAGTCTCTCATCTGCCAGGGACTTGGAACCAGCCAGAGCCCTCCAAGAAAGGGAAGAAACAGTTGACCCAATAAGAGTATAAGCCAGGTTGGCTGAGAGATGCTGATTTCAGCATCTTCCTTAGGACTCCTGAATTGACAGAGTTCCTGTGGAGTGTAAGCCTCATTCCAGCAAGAGCAAAAGGTTTGGTACTGCCTTAGGCTTATTCCACATGAAAATCCTCACCTCTAGGTACTGCAAGCTTAAGTTGTTCCTACAGAGGTGCATCTGTCTAGTCCATTGTTTCATGCAGCTGAATACAGCAGTAACAATGCTTTGTTTGCCATCTGTCCCTCTGTATTTTCTGTGTCTGCTGCATATCTTCTATTGCAAACTTATTTTTCTGCTGTTAGTCACATTAACCCGGTCTCTGCATCTTTCTCCCTAAAATGATGTGACATGATGACATCAACTTCATTTCATAACAGGAAATTCTGCCAGACCTCCTTTCTCAATATACCTCTCAATTCAGATCATATCCCGGACTGAATATGAATCATGCTTTACAATTAGAAAACCTGTTTGAACTCATTAACCACATATTGTTCCACTTAAGTCCCACAAACAATTCAACACCCTAGTTACACAATTAAGACTGGGCAGTATAATGTTGGCCTTAAATTCTGCCGTCAGTCCCACGGATAAGAATTTGGAGTATTACATTGAAATCTGACGTGCAATTATGGGAGAAATGTGTGGTTGTGCCTGTATTTAGCACCTTTGGTTTTGCTTATTTTCTTTTTTAAAATTGCTTTTTATTTTTACCATGTTCAAATTTGGAAAGTATGTCCAAAGTCAAGGCTGAGGAGAAGTCCAGCAGTATATTAATGCAACCAAAAGAAAGCAATATACACCTTTTGTTTAATACTGATCTTCTCCTTAGCACAGTATAGATATCACATACACAGACATAATGATAGATTCAGGAAGAGTTAGGTAAACCAGCTATTAAAATTGCTCAGCCCCAAACAACATTGAGGAAGCTACAGCACTGCTTATCAATTTTCCAGATGTACTCCAAGCTGTGTGATTTTTTTTTTCATCTGCTATTCTGTTTAGCAAATGTCTGTTTTGTTTTTTATAAGAAAAGAAGGTGGAATTCTTTGCTAGTAGATTTGTGATGATTCTTGATTTTGATTTCATGGGCATGTGTAGATGAAATGGAGGCCTTAAATTGAAGTGGTGGGTTTTTAAAAGCACCGCTTCAATTTAGGGCCCTTTAAACCCCCATGTCATGCACACACCCAAACTTACCTGCCTCCCTGCTTCCCTCCATGGCAAGCCCCCCCAGACAGTACCCACTTGTAGGCATCTGGCTCAAATGCTCCTGGGGGACACCACAGCCACAGAGGACCCCCATGCAGCTCAGGCAGGCAGACAGGCTCCAGGGAAAAAAAGATCAGGCTTGCCGCTTTCTTGGGCAGAGCCTGCTTTCCCAGGCTACTGCCAGGCAGCCTGCAGGGCTTCCTGCTGAGCCCTTGAGCTGCATGGAGCCTGGTGCTTCACTCAGCAGCCGTAGGGCAGCAAACTAAAACTCCTCAGAGGAGTTTTAGTTTGCTGCATCCCAAGTCATTTAAGGCGCATTATGCCGCTGAATTTGCTATAGCAGCTGGAATTATTGCCACTGATGCGTGCAAACACTGACACCATTAAAGCGGTGCAAAAGCATTTAACACGCTTTAAAGTGTCATGCACACATGCCCCTCGTTTCGTCTACACGTGGAACATTGCACCAGTGTAAATCAGATATGAACTCTGTTGACGCAAGCTGTACAAGTGGGAGCAGAATTGAGCATTGTGACTTTAAATATTGATCTGTCTGTCAACGTATTATTTGCTAATCATTTTAAAGGGCAAGTGATTAATTGTTTCCTTTAGGAGTTTTAACTAAGTCAAAATTCTAAAAGTTAGGGAATGTACCCCACGCATGTATTGTAATTTAACTTCTGGTTGTGTGTTTTCATCTGTGACTTCTTTTAAAAAAATGTTTGCTTGATACATATTTGTTCAGGTTGAAAGGGTAAGCCACAGGTAACCTCAACAAGCAACTGGAAACAGAAAGTGAAACATTTGAACTGTGCACTATAAACTGTGACATGGCAAATGCTACTGATATCATCCATACCAAAATACAGATTGCTTTGCCCCACGCCATTATTTTGGCTTGACTTACATTGTCTTTGGTTGCTTGAGCAATAGCAATAAACCTGTCAATACTTATACAGGTTAATGTCAACATTGAAGTGTACAGATTCAAGTTATAAATGCTTCATATAATACAACACATTGTGGTGCCAAAAATCTACTTGTAAGCAGCAGAATATGCCCAGAATGACAGGATGTAAAGAAAAAGTAGGTCAGCATTAATCAAGCCAGCAGATAACCAAAAGTACCAGCTGGTAGGGTCTTAAATTTCTCTTAGAGAATGTACACGTTAAGGAACAGTTTCCCATCAGCCCAAAGACAGAAGCAAATGAATACATAAAGGCACAAAGATTTTGCTAAAGGTGAAGAAATTATCATTCAAGATGAAATCAGTGGGTGTGAGGTTCCCATACAGGTAACTTAAATCCATTTCCATGTTGTCTTCTTTTTAAAGTGTACTTGTAAATATGCACATCAACAAATTATTTTAACATATCTAGCAAATGGACTCGGTGCCACTCAGCTAGTGTTTAAAAGCAAGGAGATAATTGTAAAATCCAACATTTAATTTACCTGGTGAGGTCACATTATCTCTGCCATGTGGTAGAAAGTGAATCCAGAGAGGACAGCTAGTGAACTTTTAGCATCCTGGAAGTAGACACATCCTCCCTTAACAGAGTTACAGTTAAGGGGACTAAGAAGCATAAACAGCAAGAGCGTGATGCAAAGCTTGTTCAAGTCGATGGAAAGACTTAAATTGTATTTACTTGGTTTTGGATGAACCCAGAAGAGAAGTCAGAGGAGGTAGACTCAGACTAAAAGTATGAATTTGGATTTCAAATGCCAAGTAGTTAAAGGCATTTGGTTGGATCCAGGAATGTAAATAAAGC